GTTCTAGTCCATTGATAAAATAACACTGGGAATCGTAACTTTCAGGCGAACTGTTCGAAAAAGTTCGATATCGAGGCCGTTCATCAGTCGTCGATTATCATCCATTTTGCCAATTGTATATTTTCGTATGTGGTTTAACTTCGTGAAAAGTTTCAGTACGTAACGCGATCGTTACATCTATCTCTCAGGTACTAACATTGAGAATGTATAATTGCAGTCTATTGAATTGAGATGGCACAAGGTTTAGGAACCTCTTCTAGCACTCAAATTCAGATGCTGTTATGGCATTCAAATCTTTCATAAGACCCTCTAAATTAGCCATCTCTTGGTTTAATTCTTCTGTACTGTAAGAAGGCTATAAAAGAATTAAAAAATCATTAATCAAATACCCTACCTTACCAACATAACTGTAATAGAGGAAATTAAGGCTCTTTTTGCTGCACAACACACAAATATTCTTCTTCGTAATTCAAGCATAAATTAATGGAAATATTACCTTCAACCGTTCAACTTCTTCCGAAGTGTGCACCGGATTTGAAACTGAGGCTAATCGATTCTTTGCTAATTGCGTAGAACTTTGTGGTTTCTTGTACGGACTACCAGACATCGTGGGTCTTACAGTTACTTGAGAAACTATAAAACACAAAAAGTACACAGTGATATATGTATAAAGATAAAAAGCACAGTCGGGGCAATAAAAAATCAGACTAACCACCATGTTTTTGTTGGGCTGGTGTCGACGGCGCAGATTGTGGTGGTGGTGCTGGCACGCTAAAGCTTTTCAAAGGATGACCCTGCATTCTTTTACTGCTCCCACTACCGTCGGTTCCACCGCTGGCAGCTGATGGTTGATTACTGTTGCTATAGTGACCACCCGAAGCGTACTGAGTATTTCCGCTATATGACTGACTTGGAGCATATGATAATTGCTTCAAATAGAAAAAGACTCGAATGAAACGTCGTTTCTAATTTAAGGAATACATTATTGATGAAATGGGAAAATCTTACTTGACTTTGCATTGGTTCGTACGATGTTGAAATGTTGCAAGAATCTGGACTCGATTCTGGTGTTGGTTCTAACGTTATGTGTGCTCGACTCAAGCTGTACTGTGCCACTGTTCGAGGATAATTCTGTCTCACGGATGGTGTATCACTGCACGACGTGTGAATCGTTGGCTGTGACATACTTGTATTCACGATTGGTGTGGCGGTCGCTATAGCTGTAATACGTTAAGTACTTTGTCATACAGCTTAAGTAGTTTTGTCTCATTAACTTATCGTACTCTGGTCGGTGTTATACGATATAGAGATAGGTTAGTCCTCACTTGATTGCACTATTACTTACGTTGATGTAAAGATGCACTGTCAACAGGAAGTGTAATGAGTTTAGGTTTGTGGCTTCCTCGACTATGCTGCCTACTCAGGGTCGAGCACTTCTCGTCAGTGTTACCTAATGTTGAGTGAGTGAACAAAAACCGAATACGAAAATCAGGAAAATAATAAACAAAATATAATTTCCATGTAATGTTAAATAAGGGTTTAATAAAGAGTAGGAAATCATTAAAATTGTGTATCTACTTATGTTCGAAGTGAGTGATCTTGGTTTTGTTTCGTGGTACAACCATAATAAAATGTGTAGTTATAAATTCAACCAGACGAACAAAATATCGTGTATCTTCTGTCTAATGTGTCAAGGTATTTTGTTAAAAAATGTTGTCTCCAAAAACTTACCCATGTAACTTGGCACATAAGTACGTTTGTCCAATGAACTGGAATTTCCATGCACGTTCTCTTGACTGTAATCCTGATTACTTGATCGAGGTAATGTGTTACTAGCTACTCCGCTAGTAGATGCCTCTCCATTTATGGAAGATTTTTCAAGAGCTTTCAGTTCCATCTGATCGTGATGAATCCACAGATCTGGTGGCTTGATGTTTGTTTTTTGAGTGGTATCTTTCATGTACCTAAATATTAAAATTGTAAATTTTACAATCCTAAAGTATATACACAAATGTAAATCGTGAATGTATAGTACATCACACACCCTTTTTTCCGGTCGGGAGTATCCGGACTGCGCTTGCAACAAATGACTACAACTACGACTGCTATACCAGTGAGAAGAACGATAGAGCAACCGACAATAATGTAGATCAATATATTTGAAAGTCCACGTCCATCTGTAAATTAAACGAATTGTTCAGTAGTACTGTTTATGTTTTTACAAACATCTGTATCACAATGGAAAGCATTTCAAATGCAATATTTACATTACTTTAGCATTCTACATCAAAATACATGCTATACTAACAAAAAACTAAGGAATAATAATGTCTTACCTCGGTCATGCAATTCATCATAGACATCCATGCCATTGCCTAGCATAGAAATAAACATATGAACATAATAATTAACACACAGATATACGTACGATATGAGAAGATAAAAAGAAGTAGTAGTTACTTCAAATACTACATGTACGCAACACTAAACAAACTTTAGAAACCAACAAATCGAATACGTCGAGTCCGTGCATACACATTTACGAAGATAAGATACTCACTCTGAGAAGTCTTAAATGGAACAGTTGTGGAAAAAGGGCCGTATCCTTTAGAATTGCGCGCTTGAATTTTGAAGTAATAAGTTGTGCTTGGTAGAAGACCTTTCACGGTGAATTCAGTTTTATCTCCAATTACGCCTTCAATTAACCAATCGCGATCCCACTTTGTGTTGTCGGTCGAATAAAAAATAATGTATCCTGACAAATTTGAGCAACATTATTGTTAAGTTTAGGATGTTATTAAAAATGTTAATAAGTACCTGTAATTGGTCCATTCGGTTGTTTGGGAGGTTGCCATCGTAGTTGAACTGAAGTTGGACGGTCTTCGATAGTTTGAATTATCAAATCCCTGGGTGCAGAACTAGGTGCAGCTTCCTGAGTTTGATTTGAAACAACCATACTCCATGGAGATTCCCGTTTTCCCTGAATAATTAAAATTGTTCAAATACTTACATATATGAGACAATCCCTTTAAATAATTAATTATAAATACCTTAACAAGTTTTACTGTAAACTCGTATAATGTATTTGGTTTTAAATCATTTATCATGCAGTTCAGATCAGTGGCATTATGATACTTATAGCGGGGGTTGCTGCTATGATGATGTGATGTATAACGTACAACGTAATATCGATTATCCGTTACGAACTGTAAAATTATTATTTGTTAACAAAATTTATTTAGAATATTCTTATTTCAGAAACATACTTGAGTTTTCGGTAAGGTTGTATCAGTCCAGTACAGTACAACTGTGGTATCGGAAAGAACAGCAGCTTTAAGACCAACAGGCGGTATCAAAGGCACAGAAAATTCAGATACAGAACGTTCCGTAGTTCTCACATTTGCATACGCTGGTTGTCCATCACCAGCATCATTCGTTGCTCTTAATGATATAACGTACTCTGTGATTGGTTCTAAAT